GTGTGTGTGTGTGTGTGTGTGTGTGTGTGTGTGTGTCTGCGGGACGAGTGTGTGTGTGTCTGTGTCTGTGTGTCTGTGTGTGTGTGTGTGTGTCTGCGGGATGTGTGTGTGTGTGTCTGCGGGACGTGTGTCTGTGTGTGTCTGCGGGACGTGTGTGTGCGCATGTGTATGTGTCTGCAGGATGAGTGTGTGTGTGTGTGTGTGTGTGTGTCTGCGGGACATGTGTGTGTTTGTGTGTGTGTGTCTGCGGGATGTGTGTGTGCGCATGTGTATGTGTATGCGGGACAAGTGTCTGTGTGTGTGTGTGTGTCTGTGTGTGTGTGTGTGTCTGCGGGACGTGTGTGTGTGTGTGTCTGTGTGTGTGTGTGTGTGTGTGTGTCTGCGGGACGTGTGTGTGTGTGTGTCTGTGTGTGTGTGTGTGTGTGTGTGTCTGCGGGACGTGTGTGTGTGTGTGTCTGTGTGTGTGTGTGTGTGTGTGTGTCTGCGGGACGTGTGTGTGTGTGTGTCTGTGTGTCTGTGTGTGTGTGTGTCTGCGGGACGTGTGTGTGCGGGACGTGTGTGTGTGTCTGTGTGTGTCTGCGGGACGAGTGTGTGTGTGTGTCTGCGGGACGTGTGTGTGCGCATGTGTATGTGTCTGCAGGATGAGTGTCTGTGTGTGTGTGTGTGTGTGTGTGTCTGCGGGACATGTGTGTGTTTGTGTGTGTGTGTCTGCGGGATGTGTGTGTGCGCATGTGTATGTGTATGCGGCGTGTGTGTGTCTGCGGGACGTGTGTCTGTGTGTGTGAGCTGTGTCTAGACTACACCTTTCTGGCGGCACGTTGAAATTCCTAATGAAGCGGGGATTTAAATATCCTGTGCTTCATTAGCATAAGCATGGCTACTGCTTTTTATTCAAAACGAAGCTTTTTCGGAAAAAACCCGGCAATCTAGACACAAATCTTTTGAAAACTAAACCCTTTTTTGAAAAAGCCTGTAAACCTTCATTAGCAATTTTGACATGCTTAATCTACATCTCTCTGTTAACAGGGAGGTGTAGTCTAGACAGATCCATCATGGGTTGGGGGTCCAGGGCTCCTGGGGGGGACTGCTGAGGCTTGAACCTGCTACCCTCTGCTTCCCAAATGAATGCCTTATCACCTAAGCCTACCACCACCTGCCCTTCAAGATGCCCCTTACCCTGTGTTGGTGGTCTGGTCCCTCCCAGGGTGGGGGGGGGGGCAGGCTTTA